GACTGCAACGACTAAAATGGCGGCCGGAAGACAGACTGTCATCTCAATATTGTTTACAAGGCCTCGAATAACGGCGGAAGGACATAATATAGATATTTTAAAATACACTCTGATTTATGATACGACATTTATAATAAGTCTCCTATATAGTCTTATATAAATCTTCTTTCTTATTTATTTACTGCAAAAGTTTGTATGTATGGATGGATTTTTATTAGAATCTTCTAAATAGCTAAACGGATGTACATGAAATTTGCCATAGATGTAGTGCAGTCTGGGACCGACTGCTTACACACAGACACAAGTCGCGGGGACAGCTACTCAGTTTTATACTAAAAAACCCTAAAATAGTGTAGTCTAGAAAACTTTTTTAGTAACATCGTATTTACAGTATTTTCCTATTTTTACAGGAACATATAATTTCCATGATAAAGTGTTTGTAAGTGAAATGAACGCAAAGATCAATGAAACTGATGAGAATTACAACAAAATGTTATTCAAAGAGGCTTTAAAGACTGGTTTCTTCGAGCTTCAGGCCGCGAGGGATAAATACAGGGAGTTGTGTTCTGACAGCTTGATGCACGGGGATGTGGTCACCCTGTACATAGAAGTGCAGGCCAAACTCATGTCGCCAATATGTCCACATGTTGCGGAACATGTTTGGAAACTACTGGGTAATGTAAGTATTATAAATCTAAACATTAGTGTCAATTATTCCAGTACATAGAGTCTTAAAGATAGCTTAATTTTTGTAGTAAAATAAGGTAATAAGGTATTTATTTCAGAAACAAAGTATTCTCCACTCCCGCTGGCCAGTGGCGGGTGAGATAGATGAGGTGGCGATGAAGGCCAGTGAATATCTGATGGAGGCCGCGCATTCTTTCCGCATCTACTTGAAGAATCATTGCGCAGTCAAAAAGCCCAAGAAAGGAGAAACACCTAAACCAGAGAAGAAACCGAACAAGGCTGTCATCTGGGTGGCTAAAGAATATCCTAAATGGCAACACATCATATTAAGCACTTTGAAAGAACTTAATGGGGTAATTGTTTTAAAATGATGTTATATATTTTGATGATTTTTTTTACCTTCTTCTTGATCTTATTCTTAATTTCTTTCATATTCTCAAAATGCAATTAACAAAAAAACATTTTCTGTTAAATCATGAACTGCGGTTTAATGTCTATCGCTAATAAAAAAATACATAATAACTAATGTTTTGAATATAATCAGCCATCAGGTCTTCCGGACAACAAGACCATATCAAGCAAGTTGTCAGAAATCCAGGAGCTGAAGAAGTATATGAAGCGCGTGATGCCGTTCGTGCAAGCAACCAGAGAGAACGTAGAGCGCGTCGGCGACGCCGCCTTGTCTGTGGCGCTGCCTTTTGACGAGGCCGCCATTTTGACTGACAATAGACAATATTTACTTAGCACTTTGGATGTGAGTTTATGATACATTTTTTTTAAATCGTATTTCAATAAGTTTCTGTCGTCTTTTTTTTTTAGAGATCACAATATTTCTTAATCTTCTAATATCATAAATGCGAAAGTTGAGATGGATGCATATATATGGATCATGAAATTAGACATAGATGTAGAGGTTAGCCTGGAATTACACATTAGCTACTTGCTTTTGATTTAGTAATTCAACGCAGACAGAGTCGCGGGCGAAAGCTAGATTTTTTATAACAAATGATAATAATGATTTTTATTTTTGTTAATCAAATATTTGCTCTAATCGTATTCCAGTTAGAAACGATCGAAGTGAAATACACGGATAGCGCGGACGCGCCCGAGAAGACGCGCGAGGACTGCGCGCCGGGCGCTCCGCACGTCACCTTCAGCGCGGAGCCCGGCCTCGCCGTCAGCTTCATCAACCCTACCCCCAGGAACGGCCTCTTCACCGTCACCGTGTCTCTGGCTGATGGCGACAATATAGACAAAGTCAAAAACAAAATCGCCAAGGAGGTCAAACTTATCAAAGGTACTACGATAAAGAATAGAGTAGTTTCGTGGCTAGTTGTATAAAAAAAAATATTTTAAATCCTTCAGGAAAAAAAAACATAATAAGGGTGTAACAATGCAAAATTTTATCCAGATCCAGTCAGTGGGTTAGGTTACAAACTGTAACAAACATCCATCCAACAATCTAAATTTTCACGTTTATAATATTAGCAAGATTGGTTTTCAACTAAAAATGTTTTTATGTTTCAGATATCTCTGGTTTGAAGTTATGGCGATACAAGGACCCTGTGTTAGGTCCGAGGAAGATCCCCGTGGCCGGAGATCACGAGACCAGATGTGTGGTACTACAGGACAGCGCTGCACTAACAATTGACATCACTAACAATAAAATTGAACTCGTGTCCAACGGTACCAATGTGGATATTGGCTTACAAATGTTGTACACGTACGAAAAGTGAATTTTATAAATAAACTTATTTATTTCTTTTTAATTTTGTTTTCATTTTGATATACCCAATCCTACAAAATCCGGCAAATTTCTAGTCAGTATATTTATACAAATACTTTATTGGATTTCAAATGATTTAATGAGATTTAACATAAAACATACTATTCGTTTCGTTAATCTATATAAAATAAACAATTCCGGGTAATACTAAAACAGCTTCACTCATAGGTAGCCGACATGGGCGGCCATATTATAGTTTAAGAAACAAATCGCGCTGTCACAATGGCTACTGGACTGCTACCTTTTGAAAGATTCGTCCAATTTTAAAGGGATTTGACTGAAAAGTAGCTAGTAGAAGGTACACGGGAATGAAAGCGGGCGCATACCTTTAACTAACTATCGCACAGCTGTTTTGCGATTGTCGATTGTTTCGCAGCCAATTCAATTGTTTAATTGCACGTCTAAAAATCGAGTAATGTGCGCACTCTATAAAACTCATAGAAATCAAAGCGCGACTAAGCATTTGTGCGACAGTGACGATAGTCAAAGGTGTCCGGGGCGCTCTTATTGACGACTATTTTTTTTTTAACTTCGAGCTAACGAAGTTTGCTGGCGACAGCTCGTTAGTTGTATAGCTTTTATTACAAAGGTTGAGTTAAAAATAAAACCAAAACTTTCATAATATAATTTATTAACATATAAACGGTTATTCACAGTAGTATGAACATTGCGAGTAGTATATGGCCGGCGCCGGGGGGCGCCACATGTATACGTACGTAGGCTTGTAGAAACCTTAAATAGATTATTAGTATTTATAGTATACAAGATACTGATTTTTTATACGTTTAACATAGGATGTTTTTAACCAAAACGTAAACAGGAAGAATACTTTATTTGCTTAGCATGTTTTAGCAGACACAGATTTTTAATGCATTTTTAATGAAATATACCTCAAACTTTGTTTATTGTCTTGATTGGGGATTATTGGTTCAAATTGTCCCACTACTTAATAAAGTCAAACAAAAATAAATTACAGGACCAAAAAAAAATACTTTTCGATTTTCTCGATTAATTTTAAACCTAATGTATCGTATAAAATATCGTATTAAAATCGTACATCCCAAGTCTGTCTCAATACATATACGCAATAATGTTTTATTTGAATTCCATGTAAGTATAAAAAACGTTCATCAACAAACGACACATTACATCATAAAACAATCAAATCGATATTCAATATATTCACAAAAATTTGACGTACAAATATTACGGTATAGTACTAATTGCAAGGAACTAGGCCATACTTCATTATCTACATACAAGCGACCACAAACTCCGCGGCCCATACAAATTAATACACACAACATACATTTTATAATATCAAACACACATTCACTATGAGTAAAATGTGATGTTACAATACGCGCCAACATTCTTTGTCTCCGAAGTTAAACACTGACGAATCAGAAATATATTTATCTCTTTCACTCTTATAGTATTTCGATAAGTTCATCTCACTCGGATATCGGATACATTCGGAAGACAAATTCCGTCTCTTTCACATTAACTTTTGTTTATATTATCTCGCTCATTTCAAATACAGGTAAGTTCAGAGAATAAATCTGTCGAAATTATATTCTAGGCTTGAGATATGTCACCGCTAATCGTTACAAATGCATACAAATTCCGTTTTCATTTTCTCAAGCCATTTGGATAGTTTCTAGAATATTCCTCAACTAGTAATGGCCAACTTATTCGTTAATGATTATATGGACAATTTAGGCTACATTTTAACCAGAAATGTGCAATTTAACCTGCAAAATTATTATCAAAATACTAAAACATAATTTTCCTTCTAAGACAGTCTCACAAAAAAAAACACACTTCTGTATACAAAGAGTAAAGATTTGCTAAAATAAAGCACATTTCTGGTTGTAATAACCCGTGAGTTCCCGAAACACATGTCATTTAAATTGCCTTGAAAAAGACAAGGACATGTTTCGGCAATTAAACTATAATATAATTCCTATTTTTGAAGCGTTCAAAGCGAATGCGAGTAACAATTTACATATAGATATGGGTGGGGGGGATGGGGGCGGCTGCTATGTGGGCGCGCGCGGCGCGAACAGGGACTCTAGGCCCGCGCCTTCCGGGGCATCGAGGACACTACGCGCCTTCTCCTTGCCCACTTGCATTGTTGGAAGATCGAGGATGAAGACTTCTTTCTTGAATAGCTGCCCCACATTCCGTCCGATTAACTGAAACAAGAGTTACAACTGATAAACTACATTTTGAAGTACAAATAAGGATAATTTGATTTCTTCCTTGTTACAAAACATATTAATTAGCTTTATATTTTTATAAATTGATAGAAGAAGATAGAATAGAGTAGACATTGTTATTTTCACGAGGTTCTTTCTTGATGTTGTGAGTAATTTCTCATTATGAGTGATATAAAACCAAATACGATTTCTATAAATAAAAATTACCAAATCGTATTTGGATAACCAAATATGTAAAACTAAGTAACCAAATACGGTCATTTTTTGGTCATTGTTGTTGTCATTTGGTCATTTTTCTAAAATTTATTAAACTAGTTTATACTAGTCATACCAGTTGCTATTTTAATAATCTACTATTTAGTATTGCTAGTTGAAAATTAAAAAAAAATGGATTGCAACGTTTTTGAAAGGGCTTGATTTTTTCCAGTAAACGGCTACTTTCGATTGCATCATCCCTTTTATTAGGATACTGGTCAACGGCTAGCTTAACAAACATAAAAAAGGGAGTAGGTTTCTCACCCTGGCGGTGATCTTCTTGAAGAGGTCTCGCTTGCTCTTATCGATCTTGGGCGGCTTGGTGTGGTGCGCGGCCAGCTTGTCTGCCAGCTTATCCGCCAGCTTCTCGTCCAGCCGCTGCAG